GTTGTCCCTGCGCCGCGGCCCGTGCTGCCGAGGGCCTCCGGCGAGCAATAAGGACCTCCGCTGGTGTCTGGAAAAAAGGAAGGGGCCGCAGCTTGCTGGGGAGGCCCTGGCTGGCAGTCACACCTGGCGGGCACGGCGAGACGGTCCACGATTGCCGGAACATTACAACGCCGTTCTTGCGCATGCAATGCCTTGACAAGCAGGGGGGTTGCATGCCCAGGGGTGGCAGTGCCTGGATGGTTGGGGTGCCGTCTTTTGTTGCGGCGTGATAAGATCCCTTGAGGCGGCCTCGGTGGGGTCTTCTGGGCTACTTGGGATCCGTTGATGATCTTCGGCGCTCTGGATCAGACCGATCCTCTGCGTTTCATTCGTTAATGATGGGCCAGCCCACATCCTTGACGGGGATTGGGTTGAGTGAACTTGCTATTCTTTATTTTATGGACGTGTCCAGACAGGAGCGGGTCGCGCACTTGCTCGGGAGGTAGGGCAGGGTGGGGGTTTGGGAGGGCAGCTTTCGGCGCTGCGATGGGCAGTTGGCGGCGATGGCTACCGAAGGTGTAACGTGACAGTCGAGGTCAGAAGTCATCTTTTTGGGAGGCCACGCCTTGAGATTTTCGCCTTTGTTTGTGTTTGGTCTTTTCTTTGAGACACTCGATCTCCAGGGGAAAGGGAGGTGCCTGTGGCCTCTTGCGCCTTGAGAGCGACATTCCTTTGTTTGTTTGAAATGGGGTTGCGCCCAGGGCGCTGCCAAGCCCCCCTTTGTCCCTTGGGTTGTTGCAGTTGGGGATTCTTTTGACCACGCTCCAGCAGAGGGTTTGCGTTGACGAGCAGCAGGATTGAACAGGGGTGCCGAGCAGTAGGGTGTGGGGGAAGGGCTCGAAGAATGGACGAATCGATTCTGGTGCTTGTACAATGGAGAGGGATTGTTGTTGGGGACACACAGACGGCGAGGGAAACCGCGGAACATGGGATATGCGATATCAACAGGCTCAATGTGTGGGGGATGTAAAGACCGCTGTCCATTGAACTCTGTTGTTTGTTGAAGGGCGCGGGCCCTTCTACTGTCGGAGCTTCGACACCGGTTCTGTGCCGCCGCTGCACACCAAGCGAAGGTGGGAAAGCATGTTTCCGCCGCGCTCGACCCGACCCCCTCAATTTCCGCACGGTGCCATGGCGGTTGCCGCGACCATGGCGTCACTCTCCAAATTCTCATGTGGGAGGTGCTACAAGTGCGCGCTGTGCCATGTGCCGCGACGGCAGTCTCAGTGTTGGCGTCAGTTGCAAATTGCTGCAAAGGCGCAGCTGCTTTGTGGCGCGGAAGCCTGGGTGCTGGGGAGCGGGGCGCGAGGACTGCTGCCAACGGATTTGCCGGCGCCATTCAGCATGCGCTCCTCCACGCCCCAAAATATTGACATTTGTGTTGCCAGGAAACGGCGTTTTTTTACCCTTTTCTTTGCTTTTGTGAGCATCCAAATCGGTCTGCAGTCTTTCTGCCGACACCGCAGCCCGGTTAGTGGGGCTTAGGGCGGCGCACACAGGCCACCAAGAGCCACGGCACCGGCAAACACACAGCACCGCTGGCGCATTGTCCGTTACGTTGTCGTGCCGCGCCCTCAATTCAAAAGGTGACCGCGCGTGTGACATCACACAAGAAACATTGCACAAGGCCGACGCCCTCCCAATCTCCCTTCCCTCCCGACGCCGTGACTAATCGCTCGAAGGTGTGGCATTACGCAGGAGCCCCCGCAACCGCGCGCAAGGCCACCACACATCCACATCCACGGCTCCATTGTATGACCTGTGGTTTCGGGGATCTCAACACATCTTCATCCACGCACACGGGTGGAAAAGAGCCTCGGATACACTTGCATGGGAGGGGGTGCCCTTTGCATGACCTGTTTTGCTTTCTTTTGTAACAAACCATGTCCCACGGGCGGCACCAAGTGGCACATGCGCCGGCCCTGGTTATACTTTCCCCTTCTCCCCCCATCCCCGGAAAAAAGATATCATCCACTCAAAATAAAAATATATATCGCCCGCCCAAAAAATGTCTGGTCAAGGGCGCCCCGGGCCCCGGCCGTCTGGGCCTCGCCCCTATCATATGTGAGCGAGCGGAGAAGCGGCCCTCACTCGTCCCCCCGCCTCGACGAGGCCAGAGGCGCGCGCCGTGGCGCACGTGAGGCGCCACAGCCGCGGACCACCCGAGGCGGCAGGCGTACACACAGACACGGACCCCAGCCGCACCCCCGCGGGGCGCCTGGACCAGTTTCTGTCCCCGGGGGCTGCACGCAGGGGCCCTGCCTGGCATCCCGAGACGTAGGACGGCCTCGTTCCGGCCCGCTCGGGCAATGGCGCGCAGCGGCGGCGCGCCCGGCTGGCCGCCGGCCGGCAAGGCGGAGGGCGGCGGGGATGATGAGCAGCGGGGGGAGATCCCGCGGGAGCTGGTACACCGCGTGGACCAGCTCATCAAGCTGGTGCGGCCCGCGCGGGCCAGCGAGCAGAGGCGGTACGCGATCGCGGAGTACGTGCGAGGGGTCATCACGAAGTGCTTCTCACCGGAGCACAAGGTGCGGGTGCCGGGGGGCGCGAGTGGGGGAGGGGATGACTTACGGAGCGGGGGGAGGTAGAGTGTGCTTTGTGGGTGGGGTGGGTCCCATGGGCAAGGGGCCGGCAGAGAGTAATCGCTGTTGAGTAATTTTCTGGAAAGGGGATGCCTGTTGTGGTGGTGGGTGGGGGGTAGGAGGGAATGGCCCGCGCCGGGTCCCGCGAACGGCCCAAGGCGAAGAAAAAGGGGGCGCCCGACGGGTTGATCCGGTTGATGGTGCCGTGTGGGGCTGGCGGGGAGAGGGATTGGATGGTTGCGGGGGCGGGAGGCGGCGGGGGTGAGCGGCGAGGAGGGCGACCGACGCCGCCGGCGGGGCACCTGCCGTGGCGTGGCGCGCCGTTGGGCGGTTTGATTGCGCCTTGCCCTCCTCCCCCCCCCCCACCTTGCCCCCTCTGTCTTGCCTGGCCGTCAGGTCGACCATACCGCCACTGCCCGGTGTGAGACGTCAGGGGGTTGTGCGCCTTGCGCGGAACTTCGCAGCCCCGGCATGGCCCAGGGAGACGGGCGGAATGGCCGGAAGGTGCGGCCCTGCGCGCGTTTCTCGACCGGGCGGGGGGGGGGGGCGATCGGCGGTGGTGTTTTTTTCTTGCACGGTGGGCGGCCGCCGGACGGTGCGTTGACCGAACGCTCACGGGCGGGCGGCGTTGTTGCGCGGCGCCCCGCGCGTCCGGGTTGATTTGGAGGCGCGCCGGCGCGGCGCGTGGGAGGAGGTTTGGCCGCTGCGCCCGGCTGTCTGCATGTGATCCGGCTGGGAAATCGCGAGGTGGGAGGCTGTGGCGCTGGGACGTCGGGCAGCATGCCCGCCGGTACCTGGAGTTGCTTGCCGGCACTGTTGTTCCTGGGTGGTTTTGCACCTGCATCGTCTGCCTCAGTTCGGAGGAGATTCTCAGCTCAAGAGGGGCGGGGGTGCACTGCCTGAAAATTTCGTTTTGAAGGGTACAATGGAGAGTCTCCGCTTTCAAGCGCACAAAGGTGGCAGGGGGCGTGTGGCACACTGCCTGCCAATCCGAGAATGTTCTGGCCGACTGCGGTCTGTTCCACAGCGATAATTGAAGAGATTGGTGGCACAAAGGATGTCACCTTCTGGGACAAGAGGTCTCTCTGCTGTGTGATCGGTAGCGCAAGAACTCCAAAAGCCTGCAAGGTTTTGTGTCCTGCCGATGCTCGCGAAAGTGGTGGGGCACACAGAGGCCCACCCTCTCCTGTAACGTACGTTTTGGACCTTCCTTTGGCACTTTCGGTTGGCGATGCACACGTATCGATTGCCTGGGAGTGAGTATCTATGGTGGACATTTTGGAATACAATGTAGATGCACAGGTGTGCATCCTTGTGAAGCGAACCTTTGATCTCTTTTTTCACTTTGGCTATGTACATTTGTACAACAGCAAACCCAGGTTGTGCTGCCCTACACCAGGTGGAGGCCTTCATGTTTGGCTCCGTTCCGCTGCGCACCTACCTGCCAGACGGCGACATAGACTTGTCCATATTCTGCAAGCAAGCAAAAGGGCTGCAGGACACGTGGGGCGAGAAGTTGTATGGGGCTTTGAAGAAGGAGGTTGACAACCCAAAAGCCAAGTTTAAGATTTCGTGGGTAATGCAAATAAATGCTGAGGTGAGCTCCCCCACCCTCCCCCTTGTCTTTTTCCCCAGCCACCAGCAGTCCCAGCCTACAGGAAGGGGTGGTGGTGCTGTTTGTGATTCACTCTGTGGACAGCATGTCAAGGGTTGAAGCTTCAGGCTGTGCACACTGTCTGAATAGTTCCTGTTGGACCATGGCGATAGAGCAATTGACCAGCAACTCCCAAGGTCAGAGTCAACAGTAGAACCTACACATCTATTCACTTTTGCATCAACGTAAGCTGGACCAAAGACAGTTGGTCCTAATGGACACTGTTAAAGCAAGCTATGGCCCAATCCTCTTCAGGAGTTGTTACTCAAGCACATGACGCGGCAACGGAGAGTGTGCACCCACTCCCAACCAGCGCGCTGTGGGCACACTACTTCCCTTGCAGCGCTATAGGTGCCAACATCAACAAATATGAGATTGAAAGCAGGGCAGTATGGATTGTTGTTCACTGGCTTGCTGCTTGTTTGTTTTATAGCACAGGCTGTTGCAATGTGCTGGACAGTCCAGAGCAACTGCATTTTTCAAATCCAGTGCAAACACATCCAGTCCCTTGTCTGCATCATGGAAACTCATTGCTGATTGAGCCGGCATCACTGGCGTTGCAGTGTCAGCAGAATCGTAGCAAGAAGTGGAAAGAAGCGAACGAATATTGGTGGCAGCCATGTGACATCCGCACACCAGTCGTGACGTGGAAGACAACTTGTCGTGTCATAAGACGGGATCACTGGCAGTTCACAAGCATCTCACATTGTCTGGGAAAAGAAATACCAACTTCATGTCATAAAGCACACAAAGTGCACAGTTTCTCAAAGATCAACAAGCCAGGGGCATCCTGATGTGTGCTGAACCACAAGGACGGCATCATCTGTCAACAAGCCCCTTCAATGGCACGAACATTTACCCAATGCGTAAATTGACTACCCAACTGCACTGCCAACCGAAATATGACTGGAGTATACCAATGAAGGAACCCGCCGACTTGCCCAAAGTCTGAAATGTAATAATACTGGCAGTAGCATGCATTGCATGGCCATCGTCAGCAAATAGCACATGGGTAGAAAGAAAACATGGGAAAGAAAACGGTGAGAATAACTAAATTGACTGTGCGTGTGCTTTATGAAGGTGAAGCTCCTCAAGTGTGTGGTTGATGACATTGTCGTTGACATATCTTTCAATTCTATCGGTGGGCTGTGCACTTTGAATTTCCTGGAGGCTATGGATCGGAAAATCGGCGGCAAGCATCTGTTCAAGCGCAGCATTATTCTGGTAAGCCGGATTGGCTGATTGTTGAGTTGTAGTCAACGCCCTTTCATGTTGTGGCCTGGGGCAGGCTGATATCATTGGTGGCTACCTGCTTTGATTCCAATATAGGGCATCGTTTTGTTTGCTTCCAACCTGGAACATCGCATGGCTTACTGGAGGTGGTGTCAAGTCGTGGCTAGATGATCTTGTACAACTGGGACGACCTCGTACTGGACTATCTAACTACAGGCCTGTCCTGGCCTTTGGTGATGAACATACTCAGCACTGAGCAATTTGATTCATGTGTTTCTTGACCAAGTTGGATTTTCTCAAAGGTGAAAAAATGCTGGTGATTGGTAGTTATTTGATTGCTTGCCGGGCTATGCTACTTTCCTGAGTTGCCATTTTCTGTGGGAGAATTAAATGGCACAAACAACATATCTGTGTTGCATGGGCTGCCACGACAACATTTGCATTTTGTGTGAGATCATGGAAAGGCCATGAAGACAATGCACTAGTAGAGAAATGAAAGTATGCAGACAGGAAAGGATATTGGTAATTTGATCTGAAACTGTGTTGGAACATTGGCAACTTCACCTGAATGGGGGTTGCTGTGGCACCCTTGGTGGTTGCGCAGATCAAGGCATGGTGCTACTACGAAAGCCGGGTGTTGGGGGCACAGCATTCACTCCTGTCCACTTATGCACTGGAAACAATGGTGCTGTACATTTTCAACGTGCATCATGACTCTCTGTGCAGCCCGCTCGAGGTAGGCCACAAAGATAGTCTTCCTGCTTTTGATGTTCACACTTCTGGAATGCACACAAGTGGACAACTTCACGCCGTGCTTGCCTGGTGTCACCATCAACGCCCTATTTGTGGTGGCCACTGTGGTGCCGTTGGCCTGGTGCTATTACGCAATCCAGAGCTCTAGTCGTTGGCCATCAGATTCGCCTTGACCAGGGGCTGCCAGTTGCACCACCCTGGTTACTCCCTTAGCTCCCAACACTCGCTTCGAAGTGCAGCAAATGCCATAAAAAGCACTGGCCCAGCAGAGCCGTAATGATGCATGCTTTATGTTGCACAGCTCACAGTCTTCGCCTAATCTGATCAATGGGTAAGGAGGCTGTACGGCTGTCGAGCAGCCAAAGAATGGTTAGGATTGCTTGAGGGGCAGTAGGAAAGTTGGGGACCTGCAGATCGAACTCAGAATTGGCATCTTGCAGGAATGGATAGGGCAACTCTGGGGCAGAGGTAGGCAGGGCTGGACGTGGCAAGCACCCTTGGGGCTGTTTTCCACTTGGGCAATGAGTGACAGGATGCAAGAGGAGAGGATCCACAGCTAGGCTTCTGGATATCTGTTGTACTCAGATTCACTACCCCACTCGCCACACCTGTGAAGGCTTGCGTTCAATTTTTGGTGCAGTGCTGAGGCTAGCCTAGTTTCACCAATTTTAAGGTTTCCACATCTTCCTGGATCAAGGTCCCGAACCATGTTGGTATGCGTGGCTTTGTTTTAGTATCCATGGGTTTGGTTTTGGGTTTTGTATGTGGATGTTGATGCCTGGCAATCACAGTGTGTGCATGGCATGTTTCCTGTTGGTTCAAAAAGACAGTCTGAAAACAGTCAGGCCATGAGAATGACACACAGGACAGCACAGTGCCACAGGAGGAAAATGGAAAGGGCTGCATTGCCTGTGGTTCCAAGGGCAACACTGCCTGCCCACCTGTGTCATGGCAGGTTTTGGTGTTTCTCTTGCATGTGTCAAGACATAACAAGCCAAGATGCCCTATCACAAATCTGGCAAAGTCAGGCAACAAGCTACCTGTCATATAGTTGCAATGGCACTCTGACTGTTTGCTGTGATGCAATATTATGGATTCAAGAAATTCAGAAATTGAGTTCAGAAATTCACAAGGCAAGAGCCCAGCATTGGCGCAATGCTTGTGTCCATGCCCCAAAATGTGGCGAGCAACCCGACTGGACCATTGATGTGTAGGTTTGCTACTAGTTGTAAGGCTGCATTCCCTCGTTGTCTGCATTTCATTGCAGTGAATTGACAATGACCAGTGATACCCAGGCTTCATTGACATGATAAATGGCAGTATGATTATCTGCAGTGCGACCCCAATTGATGTTGAAGTGACATCTCAGGTGTTGACTGATTGTGTTTGGTTGTGGTGCAAAGGTCCTCCAGAAATTTTTGACTGTATTCCATAAGTTTAAGTGGGGCAAGTACTGCCTCACCCTGAGCGGACCAGTTGCATTATCTGAATTTGAGTCCAACGGCACAAGTAAGTTGCTGTACTGAATGTGGAAATGCCGGCTGGCGTTGAGGGGTGGGATTTGTTTTGCAAACATTGTACCGATGCTCGCTTGCAGAGACAGTACCAACATTCACGAGGAAAATTGTCGTTTTGGGGAAGGTTCGGCAGCTGTTGGCAACAGTCTCTTATCCGCTGTAATTCTAGGGTTTCGATCATGTGTTTGATCTGACCAGTGCTGGGTGGCTGGATGGTACCTGTCTGAAGTGTAATTCGTTGGGTTGCATTTGCAAGGTGAGCAAATAATACCCAGCCACCTGCAAGATGATGGAAGGGCAAATTGTGAAGTCTCAATGTAGCATTTTGATATTTTTGTTGTATCCAAAACAAAACTGCTCTCTCTAACCCTGTGATTCAGAAAAGCGCGTTCATGTGAGGCGGATTGCTGATTTTTGCGGTCCTCTGCTGGAGAGCCTTGGGCCAGTTTTTTTGTTTTCTTGCTTTGCCCCTCACATGTTGACAAAGGCTACCTGTTTACTTGCAGACACTGAAAATCAGTACCAGCACCCATTCACTATTGATTTGGACAGATTGAGTGAAAGAGGAATGAAAGGCTTTGAGTGCCACACTGCTGCAGTAATGTAGCAATATTGTGGAATGTATACACAGGTATACATTTGACGCCACAGGGTTGACAACATGAAACTGCAGGCTATGCCAAGTTGTATGCCCACATCAGCGTGTTTTCTTGCGGCATGTGATCAGCGGCTCTAACACTTGGCTGAGACTCACAAAGCCTTCCCCCTGAGGCTGCACAGAAGTCCACACAAGCAAGAGTGCTGCAAGCTTTGAGGAACTTCAAATAATAGAGACATCGTTGCCAGTTGCATTGTTGATGAACTTTGATCAGTTGTTTTAAGATCATTGCATCCATACAGTGTGTGAACGAACGTGTAGGCGTGCGCTCAATCGTCAGGGCGCCTCACAAGTGGGTTGACTATTGGTGCAGATGTCAACCCGCCAGAGATGCAGGGAGTGGTGCTCCTGACCCCCAATTTCATGAAACTCATGCTGGAGTCGTACTCATACACCCCAGTGATGCCCACCAACACAAAGGGCCCCGCGTTTCCCAAGTGCCTCAACATCATGGATCCGCTTCTGCACTCAAACAACCTTGGTCGAAGTGTGTCGCAGACGAGCGAAATGCGTATTAAGAATGCCTTTGGCCACGTGTCACAAGTGCTGAAGAACGTCATTAATCTGGTGGGTTTTTCAGGCTCTCTTCTTTTTTGATGTGTTCCATTTATGATATTCCTTCTTGTCTTCTTCCTGTTCTGCATGACTGTGTGAGAGGTGTGAGGTTGTGTGCTCTCTCACTGTGGGGTGGGGTGGGAGGCACTCGTCATTGCATAGGCAAGTCCAGGCGAATTGGTCTTCCAGGTGAAACACCCCAATTTTGCATAGGTCCCTGCGCATGACAAAACCTAGGTGTTGTGCAACAGCTGTGGCAAGGACATGGTCATTCGTTCTTGCAATGTGTGGTTGATCGTGTCCCGTACCCAAACCATAGGATCGTGAAGCACAGAGAGGCCCCAACAGTCTTGAGAAGAAGTAAGGCCCTCACAAATCGGGTATGTGCAAGGATTGTGCTTAGTCATGTTTTTGGCTTGTAGCATCCAATACTCGCATGATGCTGGACGTTGGTCAGGTGCGGAACATCTTGCCAGCACCTGTGTCAGTGCCCAACTGTGTACAACTGTCTGAAAAAATTGGCTGGCGCTGCATATTCTTCCTGTACCTGTTGTCACCCAGGTGTGGTGGCCAGTGGCAGTGACCACTGGGTTCTGACACAGCCCTAATTCTGGTTGCTGTAGTACAAACATGATGCTGAGGCATCCTTGGAGCAGTTGGACCAAGTGTTCAGAAACACATGGGCGGCACACAGGCGACCAAGGGGAGGCATGGCAGGGCCAGAAATTGGCCCCCGTCCTGGGGACATCATCCCCAACAGAGGCAGCGCAGACACAGCTGTTGGAAACCAACCAGGGTTTCAGGGATTTCAGACGGCACTGTCAGCATATGGGGCACAGCCCTCTGTAGGCAACACTATTGCCAGCCAGATGCTCCCCCCTCCGCCTCCAACCCCACAAAGGACCGCTTCGAGCACGCAAAGTGGGCAAAACGAGGCATCTCAGGGTGTGGCTTCTGTGAATCCAAGCAATGTGTCTGGGAATCCAGTGCAGCCGCCCCCACCGCCCGGCCCTCCCCCCGGTCCTGCTGCTGCCCAAGGATCCGATCCCCTCAGCACAGCGCAGCCCAATCTGCAGCTCAGCGCCAGCATCGACATGATCGCACATCAAGCTGCAGTGGTCGCCACTGCCCAACAACACCAGGCCAAGGGCGCTAATTCAGGGGTGGCCATGGGATCGAATGTGGGGGATGGCAGGGGCATATTCGATGCATCGACCCCTGGCGGGGGCGTCCCGCCGAGCACCACCCCGCGTGCGGACAGCCTTGTGCAACAGGCAGAAGCTGGGGTTGGCATCGACCTGTTGGGTGTGTCATCTGCTTTGCAGTTTGCTGCACTGCAGCAGTGGAATGCGCTGCAGCAGCAGCAACAGCAGCAGCAGCAGCAGCAGCTCCAGCAGCAGGACCATCACCAGCCATGGTTGCTGCAGCAGTGCGGCCTACCTGCCGTGCAGCTGTACCAGGTTCAGAACGCTGTGGCTGCGGGGCTGGAGGCAGAGGGGAGCGCGGTGCCAGGGAGTTCGCCATCAAGGGGTCGAACAGGACCACCGGGAGGAGTGACGGCCAGAAAGGAGGGTTGCTGCGCGTCCGTTCCTCACCGGACCTTGGGCGACCAGAGTCGGGGCTGTCAAAGAAGAGGGATCGGAACCTGAATCGGAGGGTCCACATTCCTCACCCTGTGCCCTATCCCCGTGCATGGGCCTCTCGGCCCCATGAGGACTTGGCCCGCGCGGGTTTGGCCCCGCAGAAAATGCAGGGATCAGCGCAGGGCAAGGTGCCCAAGTCAGATGGGCTGTTGCAGGCTCTTGGAAGGAGCTCAGGGAGGGGGGCGTTGCCGCCCCTCCCGGCCGATGGCTTGTCCCACACGAGGGTGGGCGGCGTGGCAAAGGTGCAGCATGGTGCCCAGCGCAGCAAGATCACCCTGGATCCAAAGGTGCGTGCCAGGCTGGAGAAGATGGAGAGGGAGGGAAAGTTCGCGGAGTTTGCAAACGAGCAGATGCCCACGGTGAATGGGGGGGGCCGGGCGGGGGGCCATACACACACGTCCCTGGACCAGGCCGAGTTGGAGTCAGAAGAGGTGGCGCAATCGGGGGAGGACGACCAGGCAGCGTGCGAGCCTCCCCACAGTGCTGACAGCGCCGACGGTCGGTCACCCCAGGCGGATGTGCACCCTGAAAGGGGGAAGGAGGGGACCAGTGATGGCAATGCAGCTGCCCCGGCGCCCGCACCGGACTTTGCCTCCCAAAGGGAGAGGCTGAGAATGCAGACGATGCAGGGGGGGCTGCCTCCCGAGGCCATGCAGTTGGGGCTGCCAGAGATGCAACCGGGTGTTTCTGGCCGGGCCATGCAGGCCAGTGGGCCACAGACACCTCACTTGTCCCACGCAAGCGTGGCCATGGCCCCAGGGGACCTCGTGTACCCCACAATGCCCCACGTGTACCCTGTGTACATGACACAGCTAGGTCAGGTGCAGCTTGCCGGCAACCATGTCTTCGGCATGATGCCACATCCCGGCAGTGTGCAGCAGCCTGTGGGGGGACCCAGCGTGGTGGCCGCCACATCTGCAGTGAAGCCCCTGCCCGTTATGCACGTGGACCAGCACGCAGGGCTGGCTGAGTCTTTCTACCCTCAAGCGAACGTCTTCCCGGCGGTGTACTATGATCAAGGACAGCCTGGGCTGAGCAACGGCCCCCTGCCCAGCCAGCTGGGCTTCGGAACGGAAAATGTGCACCTGGGCATGCCAGGCCAGGGGCAGGCATCGGCGCAGCTGGGCCCCTTGGCAGTTGGTCCCATGGCGTCCGTTCAGCAGTCACCGGCCTCATGGGCGTATGTTTACCCTAGCACGACGCAGGTGGCCTCGCAGCGGTCGTCCACAGATCGCTTCTCCGACTCCTCCAGCAGCGGCGACGACGTCCTGTCGGGGGACATCGAGACGCTGACCCAACACCTGGAGATGGCCAGAAACCTGGTAGGCAGGAAGCAGGCAGAGAGGGAGCGCCCCCCCGTGGCCAACAAGACGACGGCGACCAGCTATCCCAGGCCGGCCAGGGCGGAGGGTCCGCCTGCGGGGACTCAGGGCCACAATCGCAAGAGGCAAAATCAGCACGTGGAGGAGGGCCCGAGAACAGCGTACCCGCCGCGGACACCCCCGCACCGCAGCGACCAGCATGGCGGGCGCGATCGCCCGAGGGATCAAACGGGAGCCCCGGCAGCGCAGCGATCGTTCCAGCAGAGCTTCCAGGGGGGGAACTTTGGCCACATGATGGCGTACCAACAGCCGTTTGCGCCGCCCCCTCCCCCTCCTCAGGCTGGGGTTTCCGAGCCACCGGCTGGGGTGCCCGTGCAGGGTGCTGAGGATGTGCTGTTTCAGGTGCCTGCAAACGTGGCAGGCCACCCCGCTGGAGGGTACATTGTGAGGTCACCGGCTGGAACTGCAATGGTGGGAAATGGGCCTGTTGTGAGCCCTCCGTACACTGCACTCCCCACGGGTCCCAGCCTAGCGGGCGTGGCCTCTGTGGAAGATGCTGGTGGGACAGGCTCGCGCGAAGGGCACAGCACAAGGGCTGCCAACTGGCACTTTGAGGACATCGCTTCCCACACAAAGCCCGTGGCGTTGTCGACCGACGATGGGAAATTCGTAGAAATTGACCCCTCGGTGATTCGGGCGGTGGAGGCTGCCCTGGCTGGAATGATGTCACTTGGAGAAGTGGCCCAGGGGCAAAACATGGGTGGGGAAAGCAGAGGGCCCAGGGAGGAGAACAAAGACCCACCCACAGACTGCTCCCCACGCGATCGGCACGGGGAGCCATCCACGGCTGCTGGTCGACGCATGGACGCTGGCGCCAAGAGGGGTAGGCGCCCAGAGGCAGGCATGGAGGGCGGGCTTCAGAGGCCCCACACGGCCGAGGCCACGGCGGCCCTAATGCAGCAGAACCCTGCGATGTTCAGCGCCGTGAACCCTGCCGTGAACAGCGCCCTGGCCTTCCTGGCTGGCGCGGGCGCCAGGGCTTCGCACGGTGCCATGGCTCCTGAAGCTGGCCAGCGAATGGGGGCTCCCCTGCACCCTGACTCGTTCCTGGTCAGTCGGGGCATGGCCTCCTACGGCACGGGCAGTTTCATCCCCGCCCTGCCGCAGGATGACAACCGCGCGGCGACCAGTGGAGGCGAGGCGCATGTGGCGGCCGGCCGGGGCGCAGAATCGGACCCCCGTGCTGCCCCTGACGCCCTGGGAGAGCTCGAGGGCTCCAACGACGGATCCTGGACGACGTCCAGCTCTGTGTCCCTAAACACGGGGTCGGACAGGGGCGACATGGATCACAAGCCTCACCACAGGAAGAATGGGCGGGGCGGGGGACCCCGGCCGTGGCAGGACCACGCGGAGTATGGCAGGCGGGGGCCCAGGGCGCACCATCCTGCCCAGCAGCCCTACGGCTGGCACGACGGCCAGTGGCAGCAGGGCATGGAGCGGGGCGGTGGCATGAGGGAGGTGGGGGAGTTCTATGAGTACGGCCACCCTACGGGGGGGTTCTTCTACTCGGACGCGAGAGCCCAGGGCTATTGCGCCTTTGGCCCGGGCTACCCGTGCCCTGAGCGTGAGTACGACAGCATGTGGTATGAGTACAATGGCCGGCCGAAGGGGTACCGCCCTGGCGGCGGGGGGCATGTGTATGGCTGGAGGGGGGGCGCTCGTCGAGGGGAGCGGGAGGATTTGGACAGAGATGGCCGGTGGGCCATGCATGGGTGGCCCAACCGTGGTGACCGCCACCAGATGGACGGGTGCTCGACCCCAGACAACAGCAACGGCCACGGCGCCGGAAGGGCCAGGGGAGGGAGCTTCCAGAGGAGGGGGAACGAGCGCTGGGGGGGAATCAGGGAGCCGGCAGATGGCCCCAACTTCAGGCAGTCCAGGTATGCCAAGCAGGGCACCGGGTACTACGAGGGAACGCACACGTACTGGCCGAGGCGGGTGGGCCGGGGTGGCCGGCGGTCCGACGGCGCTGACGATGGCATGGGCCGGCGGTACCCCCGGGGGGCGCCCGAGCAGGGCCAGGAGGAGCCGCAGCAGGCGGTCCTTGGGGCCCCTGGACGGCCGCTGCCTGTGGACCAGCCTGCAGAGAGGCACATGCCCGGCACCCCACAGAGGGGTAGCGACCCTTCGGGCAGGAAAACGCCCCTGGGCGGCTTCGTCATGAACGGCAACGGGAGTCCTGGTGCTGATCAGGAGAGGGCCAGGAGCTTTACCCTGAATTCGGAGGACTTTCCTGCCCTGGAGACAGCCACCCCCCAGGCGGGCACATCCCCTCCACAGCTGAAGAGCCCGAGACAGGCGGCGATGCCGGGCGGCGGCATCAACCCCTCCATCAGGTGACAGCAGGCCTGCTGGCACCATCCCTGTCTCCGGCCCCAGGCCTGGTTGTAAGAAGCCAGTCTGGGAGTGAAGGCTGGAAAGGTCAATGTGTGCCATTTGGGGCTCGGGGGGCGGCTGGGGGGATGGACTGTGAATAGGTGGCAGGAGGGGACTGGTGACAGATGCACACAAGCACGTTGTCACTGGGGGCGCAGGCGCGTGGCGAGCTGGGCCCCTGTGGCCCAATGGGCGCCCGTCACCCTGTGGCAGTGGGGGCACTTGCAGGATTGCCAGGGGCGCGACTCGTCCGGTGATTTTTTCTTCGTGGGCAGGAGGCTAGACTGGGGGGGGGTGTAGGGGACTACATGGCTGGGGCGTGTCGTCGGTGGGCATGCAGAAACAGGCCGTGTGATGGAGCTATTCTTGCACTCATCCTGCAGATCCTGCTTGTCTGCAGGCAGCGTGGCGCGCTGGACGGCCTTCTGTGGTCGTCACCCAGCGACCACACCTAGATTTTTGATTCACAGATGGTTGCCCTATCCTCCACCCTCCCACAGCTCTCACAAGGCGCAAACCTGGGTCGAGTGTGTGCATCCGCTGGTCTCGTGGCTCCATCAGCTGGCTCATTCGTTCGGGAAGGGATGCCAATACTAAGGTGGCGGTTCTGCCAATCATTCAGTCAGGTAGTCGAGCAATCAGGCCATCTATCTTCCCTTTCTGGACTTCATCCACCAAACCCAGGCGCTTCGGCAATGTTTGACACCAGTTTGCACAGCGAATTGTGGCCCTGCCCAAGAGCATAAATTGGCATCCCACTTACAGTCCCCGTCTCCCACAGGAACACGGCACTTATAACAATAGCGGCACAGGTTAGCTCGTCTCACAATTTATGGTTCCCAAATGGGGGCGATCTTGCGGTTGTTTCAATGAGTGTGCATACTCCGGGATGTTGACCGGGAGATGGTAGCTTCCTGATCTCCCACCTCTCATGCAACGAAGCAGTAGGATCAAAAATGTGATACACGACGTAACAGCACGCTTATGCTAGATTTGAGATGACAGGTGCACAATGCCCACAACTGCACATACGTTCCTTTCTGACCCAAATCTTTTATCCATATGCACGCTTTCCCCTTGTTCTCCACTGGTCTTATATCATAAGCTGGGGACGCGAGTTGCCTGGGGCTGGAAATGCATTCTTGCAATCCACGTCGGAATTCGTTCACAAGATTCCCCCCTTGTGATGTGAGGGTTACATGAGAAATGGTGCAGCCCGACTTGGGCGCTGCGTGTCTGTTCGCACATGTGTTAGGGGAGAGAAATTCAAATGGCATCATTCCAAGGGTGTCTCCCTTTTCTATTCAGCGAAAAAGGAAACGATTGTTGCAGTGTCGGTGTGATAAGGCCCAACTTCTGGATTGGTACACTCTAATGTATGTGTGAGGCTTGCACTGTGCTTGTGCCGTGCCTTAGAGCATCTTTATCGGTCGGTGCTATTGCACTGGCGGAGCTATCCAGGAACGGTTGTCACTGGCTGCCGTGCAACCTTATTAATGTCGCATTTGCCAAGTAGCACCGGTGCTATTGCTCTCCTGCACGCATCCGCAATGGTGGGTGCTATTCCTGCTCCAGATGGCATCATGGCAGCACTACAATGTTCTGCACGAAGAGCACTGGGTGCTATTCCGGGGTGCTATTTGACATCGAGGGGTGCTATTCGGGCCTAGAATATCACCTCTCGGTGCCAAATAGCATCGGCGGTGCTCTTGGGGTGCTATTGCTCCTCAACCATCAATGATGTTTTTTTTACATGCGGTGCTATTCGGATAGCCGAATAGCACCCCCGGGACAATGGCACCCACCGATAAAGATGCTCTCACGCAATGGCTCATTCGCATCCCCTGCTCACTCTTCATTGTCCTCAACTGAGCACCCTCCTGCGTCTCGACCAATTTTCCATCCGTGGCCGGTAGCGCCAATCCGCGTCCTCGCCAAGGAAGCTGCATCATGCCGCCGCAACAACAAACCCACCCGAGCCAGCCTTACACCGGGTATATGCGCAGCCACCCCCGCACCCGCCTTACTGTCCACGCCACCTATTAATATCACCCCACTGTCGGTGCCTTGACGCACGGTTCCCAAGGACAGTACGCACCTAAAGTACTGCCGGCCCGGCTCCCACCCCCGCTTGGCGCCCCAGTCAGGCCCCGCGCCCGGCGACCCATGTCCCCCCTTGGGGAGGCCGCCCTGGGCCCGCCAGGCGGCGACCCGCCCAGAGGCGGCAGGCTGGCCGTCTTCGAGGACGACGTGCTGTACGCGCTGGCATCCGTGTCGCTGGTGCTGTTCGCGGGGCTCATGAGCGGCCTGTCGCTGGGGCTGATGTCCATCGACAAGGTGGAGCTGGAGGTGGGGTGATCATCTTCCTTCCTCCCATACCTCTCTTCTCTCCGCTTGTTACTTTCGTCTTTCTTCCTTTTTTCGCTGCCTCGTGGGCTGCTTGCCGTCTGCAGCTGTGACGCGGCTCGTGCTCACGGCGTCCTCGAGTTGGAGAGGCGTGTGCGCAGGGTTTGGCGCGGCGCGATGCGGCCCTGCGTGTGGCGCAGGTCCTCAAGGAAAGCGGGACCGAAAGCGAGAAGAAGTGCGCGAGGAGCATCATGCCGGTGAGCGCGGGGGCGCGCGGCGCTGGGGATTTGGGAGACGCGGAGGGGCCTGAAGGCGCCGAGGGACTGGGAGGCCGAGGCTGAGAAAGTTTTGGGATGGCGAAGTTTTGGAGTCGGTGTGGATCTGCGCATGCGGACGGATTGCGGTCCATGTCGAGACGTTGGGGTCAATTGTGGCATCAGTGCGAGGGCCGATTTGTTGGATTCCCTTTCTGATGGGTGTGGAGTTGGTGCTCAATGTTGTGGAATTGTGGTCATCGGGGTTGATATTAGCGATGCCTGCAAGGGGAAGACGATTTTGAAAGTTCTATCGCTTGGTTCAAGCTGGTGTTGGCCCACTCAAGAATGCGAACAACAGTTTTTTGCTGTGCACCTGCACAGTGCATTTTGGGGGGTAGTGGTCCTCAGGTCAATGGCCCAAGATTTTGCGTCATTGCCTCACGTTGTCTAGCGAGGTCGCGCATAACGCCTACATCTCGTCTTTCGGGACAGGGACGGCATCTAGACTCTTGAAAATGGCGTGAGAGTTTGGAACTGAAAGAGAAGCATCAGAAGGCATGAACGCTTGTGGTGTGGCATGTGGGCAGGTCGTGGAGAATCAACACTTCACACTGGTGACACTATTGCTGTGCAACGCAGCAGCCTTGGAGGTGGGAAATGTCGCTTGTGCTTGCAGTGCCCTTCACTGTGCATTGCCATTTGCAGTTCGAGAGTTGGGCACATAGGCTGCGTATCAAAACAGCTTTTTTCTGTGAAATTGGGCAGCCAAGGTTCTTGCTAGATTCCTACCCCAGTGCCTCCTGGTCACCAACCATAGTGCTCAGTCTGTTTGGAATGCAACCCTAGTCTCTAAACGCCCAACTGATTAGCTGCAGAAGAGAGCAGCAGCAACTAGTGGTAACCAGCAGGTTTAAGCCAATTATTCATAAATAATATTTGTATCTATCATCATCGCTGACCAAAGAGCAACTGCAGGGCCAGGTGTACCTCCCCATTGTCCAAGTGTTGATTGTTGTGGAATGCCTACAGAGTGAGCTGGGGGGAATAGCTGGAAAATCTTGCCCACATTCCTGATGCAAAGCAACCACATTCTGTTGAACAGAGACATTGTAATTTTCCACAGGCAGCTGGTGTACTGGGCGTGCCATACAATGCTGTTCATATGGTCGCCCCCACCCCTGCTGCCCCTCGGAGATCTGCTTCGATTGGCTTTGTGAAAACATATCACGGGCCTGTGCCATGTTCCCATGTTTTGTCTGGCGACCAGAACCTGTGGTTATTGGTTCATGCTGCAGACAGAATGAATGTTTTGTGCAAAAGTCCATGTCATAGTGTGCAGTGGTTGGAACAGTCACAAATCTCGAAACATGTGTGCCTGTATTTCACCGAAAAGTTATCTGATGGTGATGCTGGTGGGGTATTGAACAGCAGCCACTGCCCAGATGGGGCCTGTATGCACTTTGTGTACATTTGAGTGGCATCGAATGAGCATCTATGAGGAAAAATGAGCACCATATGATGTAACGCAATGTGTGGCACCAGCGGAGCATGATGTGACCTTGCTCTGGCCAAGCTGTTTGGAGGGGCGATCAACTCGACTTGTTAGCCGTCCTGTTTCTTTCTCACCTCAAAAAGAATCCTCGTTTAGGTGGTGAGGCTGAACTAATGATAGCACAGCATGCCACCCTTTAACTCCAGTGTTGACCTCATTCTAAAACTCACATGCATATTACCATGGGTTGAAAGTCAACTGGCAGTGTTGACGGCTGCATAATGATTGGATGGGAACGAACACACTTGTGGATATGGAGTGCACCTGAAGTCGTCTGATTGGTGCAGGGCAGTGTTTTGACTTGTTTCCAACATTTACCGCATTATTGCTGCGGTTTTCTGGTACATATTACCAGTTTGAAAGCTTCAAGCACGGCCGATTTGTCTCTCTAACCCTTGCTCCAGACTTTCCACGAAATTGGATTGCCAAGTTGGCAGCCATTGTCCCAGTGAGTGGTGTTCACCGATTTAAGCCTGATTCCCAGTGGTAGAGCTAGTACCACGGGGCACTGGAGGCGAAGTGGAACAGCCAATGGAGCCAGTGCCATAGGAATATTTGGCCATGTTGGAGCATGAAGTTGAGGAGATTATCATATTCCAGGTGTTTGCTTTTGAGCATGAGTTTTCAGGACTACTTTGCAGTTGGGAACGGCTGATAGGATATCTCTGATGGCATCTGGAAATGGGTCAAATGGAGCAAGGGGAAAGATGGTTGTAGAATGAGAAAGGGCAGGGCACCACTGCTTTACCCAAAATTCAGTTCATTGGCACAAATGGGTAAACCCTTCACTCCCCAATCAAGACAGCTGGCAGTCAATATTCTCTGATTGCAGGTCCGCAATCATTTTTTCATCAAAAGAAATGGTCATGGCAGGCTGGGTGGAATGTGGAAGATTGTTTTTAGCCCAATAGAAAATGCATCGTACATTGGAACCCCACCCCACTCGGAAGAAACCCATTATGGCACAGGGTTGCACCATCTTTTGGTGTGAAGGGGTTGCCCATAGTGTGCCATGTTGCACTTTGCTGTGATGGCAAATCTTCCTCACTCCAAGAGCCACACATTTGTAAGACTCTTTTCAAACGCCATAACAGATATTGGCACATGGTTATATGGTTCTGTGTCCTTCTTGGCAGGCACTGCCCCTGTTCTTGGACGATTTGACAGACCCTGTGACAGCAGTCATTTTGAGTGTCACCGTTGTCCTGCTGGTCGGTAAGTGTGCTGCTTCAAGAGCTCCTCACGAGCACATATGCCACAGGACATAGTATTCTAGCCCAAGGAGTGGAGGCAGCTGTGCCAATGCGCCCAGTACTTTAGAAGCGTAAGAGGAGGCAAAGTTGTGCAGTGCTGTATTAAAGCTGGACCCATTCTCAAGCAGCAGTCCAGTTTCATGCACTGCCGACAGGCCAATCATGCGCCAACAGCATGTCTGAATCAGCAGAAACTGTGATGGCTTCAAGGTTCTCTGGATGGGGCACTGGGTTTGCTCACATGAGCGTGGTTGGAACAGAGTGCTGCAGGCACTGCAGTGGAGCTCAGCTGGCATTGCCACTGCTTCATTTATCATTGGTGCCATGTCAATCCCCAGCTTCTGCACCCCACACTGCTGCCCAGGAGAGATATCAGCATGGCTCCTTGCTGGGAATGGCGTGTTGGCTGATGACAGCTATAAACATACCTATTGTGTGTGCTTGTTTTCCAGAGCGATAGAAATTGCTATGTGCTATGCATCGTCATTGTCTCACTTATACTGGAGATATTTTCTGCAACACTGCTGCCTTGCCTTGAGTCTGGAATCATCACAACTGTGTACATGAGAAATGGAAACGAATGTCACCCTGACAACTTTCATCAGCCTTTGATGCTCTTGACTGAAGAGCTTGCTTGCGGCAGTTAGCACCACAAAACATTCCTGGTGCCAGCAGTGGGGTACTGTATTCCATCTCCCCTTGAAGGGTGGAAGGCAGGTGTTTTGCCAAGTTTGAAAAGTGCTGTAAGGGTGTGAAATTATATGGATTGAAGTTCTTGTTATTCAAACTAGTGCATCCTGTGGTTTACAGCTAAAAAGGCATTGATAAGCAATGCCCTTGCACACTGCTTTGTTGTGCCAGGGCAGAAGGATGCAGTCAGCAGTTGTTAAATGCTGCACGATTTTCCACAGATTACCCAAGTGCACATTATGCAAACATCGGCAGATAATCCAAGGAATGCAGCAAAGGTGGCAATGCTCTGTTCTTGGATTTCTTATGGACTCACAAGCATGGATTTAGTGCCTGTGTGTGCATCTCTCTGTTCACACCACAATGAGCACAGCACTGAGTTGCTACCCTCTTTTTGGACAGGTGAAATCATTCCACAGGCTGTGTGTGCCAAGTACGGCCTCTTCGTGGGTGGCCGCTGTGCATGGCTGGTCATCGCCCTGCGAGTGCTCACCGCACCTGTGTCTTGGCCACTTGCCAAATTGTTGGACTGGGTGATGGGCCCAAACAAGACAGTATGTGGGAGCTCTTTGCAGCCTTGGTCGCTGAGCGCAAGTCCCTTGAGACCAGGATCTTGTGTTGTGTTGTGTTCTGCGCTGATACTGTCTCACCTAATCTGTGAAGAATTGCATCCTCAACTTGGCCCTACACGATCCATGAGATAAGCAAACAGACCAGTGCTGTTCAGCAAATTGATTGTGGGGTTGTGAGAGAAGGACAAAACAACGAGATACACAGCACTTCAAGGCAGTATTTCCAGTGAAAAGATAGGGCACATGTCTGGCCTTGAAATTGGAAGAGAAAGAGAATGGCATGGAAAATTGCAAGACAACCCCAACACAGACCCAGTCAAGCAGAGCTGGACTGCCTTGCTTATGTTGCTTATTGTTTGTTATCATGTGGAGCATTTATAGGACTGCAGACAGTGCCATTGGACTTCACTCCTGCCCCTGATATGTATATCATCGCAAAAGATCGCGATCTGCTGGTGTTGGTGTCTTTGATATCACTGCGATGAGATGCTTCTGCTTGTATTGTTGTCATAGGTTCTGTTTAAGCGAGCACAGCTGAAGGCGTATGTCAGCTTGCTGGACCAAGACAGAGGGATTAGCAAAGATGAGGTGGCTGTCATCATTGGGGCTCTCGATATGCAGAAGAAGAGCGCCATCGAAGGGATGACGCCATGGGACAAGGTGTTCATGCTGTCTGAAGACACCGCCCTAGATGAAAACGTTTTGTGGGATATCCTTGGCAAGGGCCACAGCAGGATTCCTGTCCATCGAAGCGGCGATAGGTGCGCATGCTGCAGCAAAGAATCGGCAACTCTGAAACAGTGTCATTGGTCATGAGGGATGAGCTTGGTTATGAAACTTGCAAGTGATTAAATGTTTGCACTGATGTGATAGCACAGCACTTGCATTCAAAGCAGACTGTTCAGTAAGTGAGTTGCCAGGATCTGTCACAGTGAAGATCGCAAAACACAACATGCAATGCATGGGTACTGGTACCCAGTTGCCGATCACCATAGGACATACTCAGGTGATTTGTTGCTAGCATATCTTCAGCTGTAGCAGGCAAACTGCTGAATTTTGTGGACTATCAAGCCATCTAGCTAGTATCACCTGTGACCAGTACCCCCCCCTATGGGAAGTCATCTTGAATTTCTAACACCCTGTGCTGGGGATGTGCATCAGGAGGTCGCTGACTGATGGCAGAGTTCATGGGGTTTGGAAGGGAAATTTCACTCCAATTACAGCTGTAACTGATGGGTTGGCATGCCTGGAGCCTTCGATTCTTCATACCTTTCTTTCATACCTTATGCTGTTATGCTGCTTTGGTTGCTCTATGCTGCAAGAGAGTTGGACTCATGTGTCCAAACTACAGGACTGGATTCCACAAGATCATGCATATATCTAAGGAATATGCTCCCAGCGTCACAAGCCATGCTCACTGCGCAAGCCACATCCTGAAGTGGAGAGTGAGATGGTGCATGTGGCTCTCCTTATGGACAAAATGTGTGCCATGTTTGTGCAGAAAGGACATCCTGGGGTTGGTCATAGTGAAGGAACTTGTCCTTATTAATCCAACAAGGCGGAAAAAGGTAAGCACCAATCCTATGACCCTCTGGGTTGTTGGTAACTGCTGCACTAAGCATGCAGGCAGCAAAGCAGACTCCACACTAAAAGTTCTTGACGTGATGCTAGAGATCAACCAGGTCACTGACGATAAGATAGGTGATGTTATCAGTGCATCTGCACCAAGAAGACCGCAAAGATCGCAAACTGTGGATGGCAGCAGAGAAACAACTATGGGCTTGAATAAATACCTGTGGCCACCGCAAAAGTGCAAGATGACAGTTTTCACCATTTGGGCACATGTGTTCCAAGTGCAATCGCACCAAAAAGATTGAAATATGACTAACAACCAGTGTGTACTGGTGCTACTGCATATTAGGGCAACTGGCCATCCATGACTGAATGTCCAACAATGAAATTATCTGCAACTACCTGAATTAACTGGGCGTTGCAAGCAATTGTCTAGCACATGTGTTAAACCTGCATGATAGGAAGTTCCCAGGTCATGTCCCACAGTCAGCAAAGCTGTCTTCTTCCTGACATGGCTGCTGGAATTGTGTGCTCCTTGTGAAGCAGCACAAGCGGGAGCTTGTGGCCCACAACCTTGCTAGTGGTGTGGTCCACCTTGCATATGAAGCATTAAGCAAGAACCCTGAGACAATTCTAGATTTGATGAATGCGATACCTCACATGCTATCAAATGTGGAATCTGGTGTGATCTGTGCATATGCTGAAATTGCATCTCTGGAACGTGTTAATCCTAGATGCGATGGAAGGTTGACGGAATGCAAGTTTTGGATTTTTGAAGGTTTCAGACTGCCACATGCGCAGCATACCCCGCTTGCCAGCCAACGCCCCGATGTATGACCTCTTAACGCTATTCCGTGCGGGACGCAGCCACATGGCAGTGCTCTGTGAGCCGCCGAAGTCCACAGGCAGTGATTCCCCAGACAAGTCGCTGGCCTTGGGGGACCCTTTGGGCATTATCACGTTGGAGGACGTCATTGAAGAGGTTGGTTTTCATGTCTAAGTAGCATAATAGCGCAGGGCAGTGTTGTATCACCATCCAACTCTGCACAGATTGAAGAGCCGAGTATGTGATGAGGTGGCTCTTGTTTCCAACTGCACGTCCCCTGCTTGGAGTGAACGTGGGCTTCCAGAAGCCAATGCAAAGATATGCATACAGAACACTTTGTTCCTGCACAAGGAGGAGACCAAGCAAGTATGTGACAGAATGGCAGTTGATTGCAGTTTTGACGTTGACAATTCACACCATTACCATGGGGTGTTGTGGACGAGTATGTGTATCTGTAATGAATTGTCCCTACTGCACAAACTGTCTGTGAGAAGAATCCAAACCAGTGACTGCTTGGCATGTTCCATTGCCAGTGCCTGGTGTTGTGGAAAGCTGACCTGGGCCTACGCCCTGCTCCACCATGGTGACAGGACAGTGTCGTTGAAATGATACTGGCAGGCGTTCTGGCATGTTGCCTTCATCTTTGAACAATTGTCGGCCGTCTTAGATCTCGAGGTGGTTGGGCCTCATAGCAAGTTGAGGGTGTGGACCAGCGTCTGCAACATGCTGTACTGTCCAACACACTGATGAACGAAGTAATGCCGCAAATGACAGGATTTTGGCCTTATCTCATGCGGAATGTGGGGTTTGTCAGTTTAGCTGGTTTGAACTGCTGACCGAGTCAATGGAGCAATGGAAAACTCGCCCAAAGTACAGTGTTTGTGGATCCTGTGTCTTCTTGTGCAAGGGATTGGGACTCGCACTCAGTCTTCATGGGCTGTGCCAAGTCCACCAGCCAAAGGGTGTGCGAGTCGCTCATGCACACGCTGGAGAGCAAACTGCACATATGGAAGAGATACCCATCATTCCCTTGTTGGTGCATGGGTAGTATGCTTAGTGTGTGGGATGGACGTATACCAAAGAGATATCAACTGTGTCCCAATGCGATCTGCAAAGCAAGCGTGAGCTTTAACACAATGACAAGAATGGCGCAAAAGGGCAAGCAAAAAGTAAATGGAGCGAATGAGCATAGTCCTCACCGCATGTTGAGAGAATTGAACTTTCTGGGTGTGAAGTTATCGTGTTCATCATTCGTTTTGCGACAAGTCCTACTTGGTCAGCAATGAAAGACTCAAAAAGGCATGGTTCGGATGCCGGATTCAGCCCGGCTCCAATGCAACTTGCATTGTTCAGTGAACAGTTTTCAACGATTGACACATCAGGGTACAGACCCGTGCTATGTGAAATGGACAGGTTGCTGTCAATGCTTTAGATTTTCCCGTCCCCAGCCGCAGTGTAGACTTGTGACAAGCGATCCGCAACTCGCCTCTTGGTACCACTCGATGGGAATTCAGCTGCTGTCCCCGGAATAGAAGTAGGTATCGAAATGGAGGCTTCCTGACAGTGCATGTGCTGCCCATTCAGTTGCTTCAGGGAGAAATTGTGGACGAGACGGATAAGTTCGTTGACAATACGCAAACGCAGAAGGTGCAGACGGCCCTGCTGCTTGCCCGCCTCCCTCAGAACGTTAAAGAGCTGCTGCGCTTCACTCGAGCAAGGAGCTTTGCCGACCATTCGTCCAAGGTGCTGTTTCTGACACACAGGGGGCATCGCCTGCCTCCTGTCTGTTCCTCTCTCTTCCACTCCTCTCCTGCCCCTCGTCGTTTGTTCTGGCGAATGGGCCACACTTCGTCTGTTGTCAGGTTGTGCTGTAACAAGGCAATGCGGATTTGTCACGGCATATGGCCATGGGCAAGTTGTGCAGAAACGATGGTCTGACATGTAGGCAATCTTGTTCTGCAGGGGGGCATATGACAAAGCAAAAATTGTATATGATCACTGCAAATGACAGCAACCACGAGTTGTATGACATTATGAGAACCCGAGAACGCCGTTATTGTGCCACGGTGATTTGGTCAGGGGCATATCCAAGAATATGGCATGGGCTGTGGCCAATGTCGGGAAATGTTGCATTCGGATATTAAACCCATTCAGCGCGCTTTGCAGCTAGTGCTGCACATTGGCACGGCTCCCATCTGGTGCTAACTCAAGTGTTCTGCAGTTTCGATGGCTGACCAGGTCGACCACGGCCACGAGTTTACCATTTGGCAGCGACGCGGCGAGGACGCCGCTGCTCCAGTCTTTGGAAGGTATCGGGAATCCTGGCTTGTCTCCCAGCGACAATGGCGACCCGCTGGGAGATGCATCTTATTCTTAACACCAGCGGGAATGCGGGGCATCATGGGAAAGCTTATGCTGCGAGGTGGTGAAGATTGTCCTTCCAGCGGATGGCAAACATATCCGAAGGTGGCACAACACTGTCCTCAGCAGCAGCAGACCCAAACAGAGCCTGGTGCGTTCCAGTCGCAGGACGCCAGTCCAAACAAGCGGCGTTTCAACGCTTCAGCGGTGCTTCAACGCCGACGGCAACTTTTTGTGTCGAGAATCGGGATGTGTTTACCATGCGCGATGTGCATACGTTTGCTGGTCACCTTTTGTAGTTTTAATCAAAGGGAGTCCTTGGCCCCGGCGTTGTGTTGGCGGTCCGTGCAGCGTGAATGGGAAGTCAAAGCACAGCAGCCTTGTTTACACTTCTTTGGATTGCAGTTTCTGCAAGCCCGTGCGGGAAGCCAACGCCAGTGCATTGTGCTTTTGCTGATGCCTGATGTAGTGGCCTCAGAGGGCCTTGAACCGGCTGCAGCATGAGCGGCGCACTGCCGCTCCACATCCGTGTTCCCATCGCTCGCCTTGAATGACTGTGGCGCAGGAATACGGGCAGTGCGCCTTAGGCAGTGTTGGGTGCTGGTAGTTGAAATTTCAACCTCGTCAGTTCAGACAGGATGACAGCTGATGCATGAAAGCCAATGGTGGTAGGTTGGCGAGGCTCCCAGGCTTGTGCCAATG